TTAAACCAGCAAAGGACCAGTTTAAACCAGCAAAGGACCAGCATAAACCAGCAAAGGACCAGTTTAAACCAGCAAAGGACCAGCATAAACCAGCAAAGGACCAGCTTAAACCAGCAAAGTACCAGCATAAACCAGCAAAGGACCAGCTTAAACCAGCAAAGTACCAGCATAAACCAGCAAAGGACCAGCATAAACCAGCAAAGGACCAGCTTAAACCATCATCCCAGCGTCAAAACATACCTAACCAGCATATGCTGGTTTTTTCAACAGGGAAGTCCGTCAGTGAGTTACATAAAAGCAGTTTGTAAAGGTTAGGAGTCATTAAACAGATAATTGTAATTTTTAGTAAAAATGTGTTATTGTTTACTGTCATTTAAAAAAACGTGTATGTCTATTAGATCAGGAGTTTTCACACTTGATATGCCAAAAGAACTGAGTGGGGGGAAAAGGCTTTACAAAATAGGGGATACGTGTTCACTGAAGTTATTAATTAAATATCTAATTAAACGATCTTTTAGGGTTTTTTAGCATTAAGCAGCACTGCTGCCATCTACTGGTCATTTATGTCAATTAGGTCTAAAAACCAAATTACAAAAGAAACCTATAGTTTTAATTACTTTTACTTTTTACTTTTAATTACTATTTTTTAATCTTATATTATATTATATTATATATTATAATGATGTTGTGGCTGGTTGCCATAGCAAAATATAGGCTACCATACCTTCACAAGTTAAATGGAAATATGCTGCCCTTGGCTCTAACTGTAAATGCAAAAAGCCTTAAAATGTCTTAATTTCCCTGTGCCTGTAACAAGCTGCTGAGTGGCTCGTGGAGATCATCTGTAGTTCAGTGACTGTTCCTGAAGTTACTGATAGAACAGGTTTACTGCCGTTTATAAAATATTGTAGTTGATCAGCGCCACCGTGTGGCCACGACGTGTAAGGTCCCCAAATGAAGCTGAGAAGAGTTATAGGCGTGTCTTCTTCTCGTCGTTTAGATCGGTTGTCATTACAGCAGACTTTAAAAACACAGATTGAAAAATGTGGGGCAGTTTCAAAGATCCAAAATAAATGAAATACACCAAATAAAAAAAACAAACTGTTCATAGATATTTCGTTTTAAATACAATTTAAATTTAATTAGTAATTAAAATAAATGAAACCCAATAAATAAAATGTAAAAATAAATGTAAAAAATGAAATATACCAAATAAATAATAACGTACTTTTTCATGAATGTTTTGTTTTAAATACAATTTAAATGTAATTAATAATTAAAATAAACGTAATATAATAATTTATGCATTTAATTAATAATTATATATTATAATATATATATATATATATATATA